GTTTTAATAGCGTTGTTTTACCCATTCTGAAACATTCCAGAGTTAATAATAGAAAATGAAAAAAAAAAACAAAAGTATTGACCCATTAGGTCCAACCAGCCCGTATCTCCTCCCGTATACGATAGTTAACGATGCCTTATTAAAAAGCAATTTCCCTTGCGCACCGATGTCGAAATTTTCTACCTAAAGCAAAACTATGAAACAATGTAACTGTGAGATAAAGATGATAATCACCTTAATGTCCATGTTATTTTCAGCTTGTTGTTTTTGCGTGATACTTTGCGAAGCTTGGGAAACAGTGAATTGACCGCCAAGTTGAGCTCCCGAACCGATTCCTCTCTCACCCGAAAAGATAACATCATTTTGTTTAGGATTCGAAAATGTAACTATATCAAAACGAATTGGATATATCGGAGGAAAAGCATTCACTCTGGCATACCATCATCATCTTCACGTATGTCGTTTGCAGTTTGTCCATCAACTTTACCTCCCATGGCTAATATTTCTTTTTCATAGTCTGCTCGCTTGGCCAGTTTTCTCAGCTCCCTTCAAAAACGCATAAAAATGAATTTTCAGAAATCAGTTCGATGACAGTTTGGGTCAACAATAGTTCAACTCATGTTTTTGTTTTATGAAGTTCCTGAATTTTTTAGACTTAGACTGCTCGTTTAAGTCTAAGCGTAATTATAAAGAGGAGTATAAAGAATATGAAGAAGTAAATTATCGTACTTTTTTGATAGCTTCTTCTCTCCATTAGTTTGAAGAGCAGCGAGCTTTTCGCTCACTTCGTCGTCTGACATGCTGAAAATATGTTGCAGTTGCAGCACAATTACGCGAATGTAGTAAACGAACAAAAGGAGCACAATTCGACTAGCGAAAAGTATATAGGATGGTGACACCGCCACATTTTACAGTCACGTGACCATGTTTTCTGATAAACTAGATACCGAAATGTAATATATCTGGTCGCTGACAATTAAGCAGCCAAACGGTAAGTCAGCTATGACTTTGCACAAAGTAGCACTTTATCATAATAGTGGAGCTTGTTGTGAAAAATCTTGATAGGCGAATGATTACAAGAAAGCAAGTCATTGAAAGCTTCTGATGTGTCACTGCGGACTGATATTTGGATTCAGATTAAAGATTTCGCACACCCTAGTTTACAGGATATATCATTAGCAAGATCAAACAGTAAAGAAGTGGCACAGAATAAGTAACAACAATTCTGTGCTCCAATGCCAATATATACCTCACTGCAGCTCCCATTACATTAACGAACGAATAAAAACTTCCCAGAAAAACGTTAAATGATAACAGTCGGCTACGCAATCGTAGCGTTGATGCCAAGATGTGAGCTCTAGCAATCTTGGAGCAATTCTGCTGAAAAGCTCAAAACAATAAGGTGACAACTCAAATAGACATATGGACCAAGAGCTAATGAACTCCATATTCTTGAAAGAGAATTCAAAAGAAAATATTTGACTGCAGTTATTTCGGAGGCCTTGATATTACA